CGTGATCAAGCCAAGTATCGTTTGAACATAACTTCCGGAATCCAACCACCTCCAATTCCAAACACAACTTTGAGATCAAGTTTAGTGATCAACATAGTGCAAAACAACAAATAATTTGGTATGTTCACGAAGAACCTATTGGATCACGTTTATCATTTGAAATGCCTAGCATAATGGTAATGACGAATAGAAATTTTCCTTAAAAGGATTGAATTTGCAAACACACACATTAGTTTTTCATGTTGTCCGACTTGACACACCTTGGCGGCAATCATGGGTAAGAGACAAGGAGTTATAAGGGTGGAGATGATCCTTGACAGACTGGAATCCATCCAAATAAGAATATATGTTAGATTCATCTCCATGGATGATGTACTAGGACACTCAATCTAGCAGCCTCACATTCAATAGGAGGAGTTAAACATCCATCTTCGAAACCAACAATTGGTTAACAAGGGCATGAACTTTGCCTATATGAATTGCATCAGCGGTAAAATGTCTCATTTCATTTCCATAAAAGTTGAAAAGACGGATTGAAAATTTGCAAATGATGACGATGGACCCTTAACCATAGAACTCTAGAAGGATTTTAAATTAGAGGAATGATATGGGTTGGTGGAGGTCAATATTTCTTATGGGGTCCCAAAAAAACCATGTTTGCGAAGGATGCGAGCAACAAAAAGCCTATTAAACTCTTGGTGGAGGTTATGTTTTTTACATGCTTATGAGTTATAATATGGAAGTTCTGAGCCAAGGCTCATACATATTCCAGAGCTGGAATCAATCTTTTATAAATTATCCCTTCCAATGAGAATCGCACTCGTGTCCCTCCAAATTTCTACATTTCTACTAACCTAAATTCAATTACTACACAACCCCATGTTTTTTTTATTCGATTTGAGTTTTTTTTGGTTTGTTTCCTTCTCTTACATTTTAGAAGTATTTCTAACCGTATTCATTACTTTGGTTCAATTGCAAATAAATATTTTGCCTAGTTTAAGGTTTGCATGAGATAATATTGATCTGCCATTTTTAATATTAATATTATATATATATATATGGTTTTCATTCATAGATAACTAGTTGAGGATACATATTAAATGAGACATTTATTCTAAATTTGGAGGACTAGGAGGATCGTCTTTGCAGCAACAAAGATCTTTTTCTTTCAGGCAAACCCCTTCGTACCAATCTCTAGTTTTGCAATATTTATCACAGTCTCTTTCATTTGGACATCCATCTTTACAAAATCTGATAAATTGTTTTCTTTTCATATGGAATTGTGTTCCTGTTTGGATCATTAGTAAACACATTACAATAATTTTAAATATAAAAAATGATCAAGTAATATTTTAGTACGTGTATGCAAATACAAAACATTTTTTTTCTAGTAATTTTGACTCACTCGGTAAGGACATCATGAAAAGTTTGAAAAGATTTCAGTATAAAAAGTGTGTGTTTAATATATACGAATTAAAAATAACTAGATCTTGACCCGCACATACGTGCGGGGTTTCGTATTTTAAAAAAAATTCTAACAAATTTTAATTCAATATAAATTATTTTACTGTTTTTATGATATATATTTTAGTGTATTAGATCTGGATCCACACGTACATATAGAGATATTTTTTTATAAAAATTGTTATATAGATTTTCAAAGTAGAAAATATTTGTTGTGTTAGTGAACTTTATAATAGTATAGATATTATAAAGTTAGAGTAATGAACGAAATTCAGTCGCCTTAGTGCATAGTTATATTTTAAGATCCGGACCTACACGTACATGCGAATTTATTTAAGATATGATTTAGGTGCAAAAGTTAAGTGATGTTACGTTTTTATTTTCTAAACTAATCAAAACATTTATAATAGATTGATTACAGATGTTAAATAAGATATGAATTCGGTTTTAGTTTGGGTTATTTCATATATATTATCTAGGCGTAACTATTTTGGAACGGGAAACCTATCCCGTCATGCATCTGTCATAAATTATTCGTCCCATAAACCGTCTCGTATATATGAAATAAAAATATTACGGTCCCGTATCCGTCATAAATAGAATATGTGTAACTGAAAACGTACGTACATGGCTATGTGTGTAAACAAATTTATTTTATATATTGCTCATAACGCGAACTCATACCATTTGGGTATTTAGTTTGATTTTTAAATTATGTTCCCCTCTCATCCCGTCTCGTAATTCCCATTCTCATTTCATTCCATTAATCATATTCCAAATTCTTTTTTGCTTACCTTTAAATATCATACAATACATACTGTGAGTTTTGCGGATTAATATGTATGTTTTTAAAGTTACAAATATATTTTAACAAATTTATTAATGTTTCTTTCCTTAGCTAAATTTTGCATAATTAATTCGAATTTTGGACTTTAAATAAAAATTTGAGATACATCTATAAAAGGGATCTGTTATTGCTGCATAATTTGTTTTCAATGCAAAATATATAATTAGTTTACATTATTTCAAAAACTGTATGCAATATATTAGGGATTTATTGAAAGAAGATCCGGTTGAAAAAGAAAAAATAAATGACAAAATATTTTGAAATTAATATGTACAATCTCTCGTTTAGATATTTCTGTAATTTGCTCTAAACAAAGGTCATAATGATAATTACTTTAAATTTATTCTTATTTAATTTTATTTCATAGTAGATATATATATTTGTTAATACTTAATATCATTTTTTAGAAATTATGAAATAAAATTTTGTTTTATATTTCAAAAATTTTGAAAATATTATAACAAAACTGCATCTTAAAATATTTGTATTTAATTTTCTTAAAAAATTTTAAATTCAATCTTAAAATCCTCGAATAGTAAATCTTTTTAAACTATAGTGTTTTTAATTTTGAATTAAAATGATATTATTTTTATTTTTATTTTTGATATAGAATAGTCTATTAGTATTGGTTTAGATAAAATCTTAGTTGGATATCAAAGCTTAGATTTTCAATTCTCATTGGTTAACAATTTTTTAGAAATTAATTTCATATTTTCGTCCATAATTAATAAGAAAGAGAAAGTGAGTTTAATTTTTGGAAACTAATAATTATTTAAAAGAATTTTACTATTTTTATTTAAATATATTAATTTTGAGATTACTATTGTACCCTTAATGAATTTATTTTAAAACACTTAAATCCAATGGCATCTTATGTAATATTTTACCCTTCATAAGGTTGTTTAATATTTAGTGATTCCCAATTAATAGTATAGATTAGATGATTATGTTACCTGAAATTATGGGTAGAAGGATCAAAGCAAACACCATCAATGAAAGTAATATAAAAGGTGAAGCGTTTTTGGTTGCCATTAGTTAAGTTTCTAGAGATAGCAACAACACTTTCAATCTCACGAGAAAACAATACCTATCAAAAAATATGTTCAAAATCGATATTAGAAGAAGTTCGGATATAATAGAAATATAGGTAGTAAGAACAAATGTAATAACAAAAACTAGTATGTTTATTATAGAAAGCAATATTTTAGTCATTGGTGAAAACAAATTTTCAATTTTTTCATTAACAAATTGTTGTGTTCTTCGTATAAATTACCACTATCTTATGTAAAATCTATAATCTTTTTAACTTATTTACCTTTTGATTTTCTAATATATACTTGTATTTGTTTAATGATCTTGTTGTATTTGTATTTATATACATATTAATGTGTATATATATATATGTATTGTACATATATATTTTAATAACTTTATCCATATTATGTAATAAAGTATGTAATGAGTCTTCCATAAAAGAAAAGATTCACTTAATAATTTTTTTTATTAATTGGGAATATAAATTTGGTCAAAGGGTTCCATTCTTTATTTATTTCCTGTTTTAGATTGGTTTTACATATTAATTCATTAAAATTATACAAATTTTTATATCAATTTTATCAAAGAAATTATATTATGTAGATCTTAAATAAACATAAATGAGAAAAAAGAAGTTACAAGCATTTATTAATGCTTCATTTTAACCAATATTATTGAAATGCCCACATGGCATTACCTATAATTATAAAAAAACATAAATTAGTTATTAAAAAAAAATCTTAAAACTGTTGGAGTTGGGCCTAGCAATATTAAGCACATGAGTGGAAATGTTCAAAGGGCCTTTAAAAGTACCACTTTGACCCATTAGCCTAGCGCAACATCAGCTCTAGCGGAGATCATAGAAAAATGAGATAGGGATCGAGACCAATTCAAGGAGATTTCATAAAAGACCTAGGATCGAGGAGAGAGTTGAATCTTCGACGAAATTGAACTGACAAGGGCCTATATAAAGGAGGCAACTCCTAGAAGTGATAATTGCCTACTAGCTCTACATCAACACTTAAGCAAAATACTCTCTAAACATCAGTCTACTTCATACTAAGCACATTATCAAAAGTAAAGTTCACTCGTTCTAACCAAACATATTTGTTTAGTTTTTAGTGAGAATCTAGCCTTTTTCCTCGTAAGTATCTTATTAAACTTGAGTGTGGGTTTTTAGCAACCATGGCGCCATTTGTGGGGAAAAACAATATTTCTTTTACGTTGAAACGAACCTTATCTTTGTGGGTAATGAAATGGATTCCCGACTATCCGAATACATGAGAACAAGTCCATCAGCCCAGATCTTACACATGATGGAACAAACCGACCATGAGCATTGTCGTCTGCTGAATCCCTCCAAAGATCAAACTGTGTTTCCTCGCATCACCAATGTTGATAACCTCCTGCAAACCACGACCTTGTTCACTTTGGAATGACCTACCAATCCTATCCGAACCAAAGGGGAAAATCACAGTACATCATGATTTTCCAACTGACCAGAACTTTTGTCGCCTAACCTGGCAAACATCTCGGACCACATGATCAGGATATCTGTGGAAGACATGGCGGCTTTCCGCTCAATGCTCCTGGTATTGGTTGAATGAATCCAAACCCAAGAAATCGTGAGCCACAACCTCACAACTCGCCTAGAACAACAAGAACGCGAGCTCGCGGACAAATTTTCTGACTCAAGGAGACTTCCACCTCATGCGACCCCAGCTTTGCCCTCCTACAAACCGAGGGTACAACACGACCATGGGATCAAACTCCAAGAATCCACCTAGACTTCTTAAGAGTTCAGGTGACTACTCGCCCAGAAAGGACGGTCACCTTCACGCAGACAAAAGTCCAACATATCCCTATGTTCCCTGTTTTTGGGAGCCCTCCACAATAGGTGAACTACCCGACATGAACAAACAACCACACCGTACCATTCTTTCCCATGCTACTATCGTCGCTGCTCCTACCACGAGGCTGTTCACTACCAAGGTATAACTGGACAGGAAAAAAAATCCCAGTCTCCAATTCTTAGGCACCTCAAGGTCAGACACAACCTCGGACCTCGTTAGAGGATTTTTAACCTAGACCAGCAAACATCCATGCACCAATCGGTGCAAGAAACAACACCAGACCAACATACGCCTCAACTCAAACCAAATTGGTAGACCCACACAGTATAGTCGACCCATAGTCCACATGGCAGTGAGCTCGACACCTAACATAGATCTGGTAATAGAGAAAACAAGGCCAACCCCCTTCTTAAAGCCTTATATAAATTAGGTCGATTCACCTTTTTCCATGATCTAACTCATCTAGCCTAGCCACGGTGTTGAATAAATGGATCTACTAAAGGGAGGCAATCTTCTTAATTAGCTTCGCCATAAGTAGTTATTAGTTTTGTGAATTTATTGGATTCGGTTCTTAAATGAGAAATTAAGAACCCATACTTACTCTCTTTCTTCTTTTTTTGATTATTTTATATCCTTATCTAATAATTCACAAGTCATTTTACAAGTAACTGCAACTCTCTCCATCTGACATCTGTCATAAGTCCCAATTCTTTCACTTTTACTATCAAAACTCCACAGAAAAAAAAAGAAATCGATAAAAAAATTAAAACAAAAAACATTCTACTTCACAACTGCTCTAGGCTTTATCGCACGATCTCACATCCTCCACTTCCCCTCCAGTTACAACAATGGAACAACATTATTTCCTACAAAGAGACTCCACATCTCTCCCTTTTTCTGATTCCGATTTCTGAAACATCAATCGGGAAAAAAAGGTTAATAAAAAACTGCAACCCTTGATCAAAAACCTAAAATTCTCTGTTTGCTTCATATTTTATTCAAAACCATGAAATTGAAAGTCTGGATCTATGGAGAAGAAATCAAACGAAAGGGACAAGATTGAAACCGAAGAACTCATAAGGAACATACCCTATTGGCAAAAAGGTATGATTCTTCACTATCTAAGAACTCAAATCCATAAGTTTTGTCTACCAACTGTTTGTCAAATTTCCTGACATAAAACTTTGTTTTATTACAGCAATACAACAACATATTACAGCGTTTACAAACCTCATCTTCACTGAGATTTCTTAGATCTCTACTGTCTCTCTCTCTCTCTCTCTCTCTCTCTCTCTCTCTCTATCTCTATTGAACCTCCTTCGCTTGATTTGAATCAAAGTAAGCTTTTCGACTTAGATTCGATTTAACTTCCTGTCCTTCGGGTTCTTCCGTTACCATTTCACATTTTTGGTTTTAGATTAGTGTTGATGTGCCACAAAAGTTTTGCATTTGGATATTTGTGATAGTAGTTGCAAGTTCTCGAGAGAAAACGAGGAAGAAGAAGAAAGTTTGTTATTCAACTTAAAGTTTCTGTTACATGAGAGTCTCTATATATACTAGAGAGTTTTGGTTTGATTCCGGTTTACACAAACCGGTCATATAGACTAATATCCTCCCTCAAGATGAGCCGTATATAGAAAGAAGACTCATCTTGCCAATAAGAGAGTTGAAAAGAGTAGGATACAAAGGTTTGGTTAAGACGTCTGCAATCTGGTCTGTTGTTACCACATGTAGAGTCTTCAGCATCCCTTGTTCAATCCTATCTCTTGTGATGTGACAATCATTTTCAACATGCTTTGTGCGCTCATGAAACACAGCATTATTGGCTATATGGATAGCGGCAGTAGAATCACAAAACAGAGGTACAGGCTTTGTTTGTGGTACCTGAAACTCTGCAAGTAATTTCACCAACCAAGCTATTTCTTTACTCCCCATTGCCATTGCCCTGTATTCAGACTCAGCAGAAGAACCAGAGGATACATCCTGCTTTTTAGACTTCCAAGAAATCAGAGAATTACCAAGAAACATGCAATACCCTGATGTAGATCTTCTGGAGTCAACACAATTATTCCAATCTGCATCAGTATAGGCCTTGAGACACAAATCAGACTTGGAAGAGTAGAACAAACCCAATCCAATAGTGCCTTTCATGTAGTGAAGGACCTTATACGCTGCTTTCAAATGCGAAGCTTTAGGAGATGATGAAAACTGACAAAGCCTGTTGACTGCAAAGGTAATGTCAGGTCTAGTGATAGTCAGGTACATCAACTTCCCAATTAGTCTTCGATATGTTTCAGGGTTTTCAATTTCTGGTTCATCACTATGTTGTGATAGCTTCAGACTGGGTTCCATCGGAATTGTTGATGGTCTCCAGCCTAATAAACCAGTTTCCTCTAGCAAATTCAATGTATACTTCCTCTGACACACTGAAATTCCTTCTTTGGTTCTAGCAATTTCCAGGCCTAAAAAATACTTCAGAGGACCTAAGTCTCTTAATTTGAAAGCCTTTGCTAGATCATTCTTCAATACCTCTATAGTAGCATCATTATTTCCCGCAATAACAATGTCATCAACGTAAACAAGTAGAGCAATGTAGTCATTACCTGTTATACGCGTGAATAGAGTATGATCTGCATGAGATTTCTTAAAACCAAGATTCACCAAAGTGGAGCTAAACTTCAAATACCATTGTGTTGAGGCTTGCTTCAACCCATATAAAGATTTCTGTAACTTCAAGACTGCATTATCTGGTAAAACTCCTCCCTGTTTCATAGAGTATCCTGGAGGTAAGCTTGTTGGTGTCGGATCCCGCACCAGTAGACCGGGACCAACCAAAGATTGCCACGTAATCAGGATGAAGGCCCGCAAAGGATAAGGCCCATTAAACCCATGGTTTACAGGATATAATCGAAGTGGGCATCATCACGAAGGGAGCTCGAAGTGGTCCATTTCGGGATGTGACCCGGGGTCAAAGTCAGGACGGTTCAAAGTAATTTGGGTCAAAAGGCAAGGCCCATGAAGATCAGAGTCAATTCAAATTCAAACGTTGAGCATTAAACTCGAAGACCAAAACGGACACATTTAAGAGAGAATAATTGTATTTAATTGAGAGTTAAATGTCGTTTGTTAGTATAAATAATAAGGCCAAAGAACCATGTAAGGATATACGCAATTTTTGAGCAATTATACCACAATCATTTCCATTTCATAGCTTTTTCATATCATATTTTTGTCCTCAAGAATTACCATTCCCACTAAATAAACAAATATTCGAGTGTGTGAATCCGACGTCCACATTTTGGCGCCGTCTGTGGGGAAGATCATTCTTGAGTTGTCAGATTTCTTTCACTACATTTCCGAGATAAGCAGCAATGTCTGGAGCAAGCATCCCTGACTCGTCAGTAGCTGAAACTCTCAAGGCCATGCAGCAAACCATGTCAGAAATGTCGCAGAAGTTCTCGGATGTGGAAAAAGCTGTGGATACACTTAAAACAACCCAGGCATCTCTTGGTCAAAGCGTCAATACTATTCAATCTCGTGTTCGTTCTCTAGGTGCAGGAAATACTATGGGAGTCCGAAGAAGTATGTTCAATACGCCAAACTCCCGTGTGCGAAATGAAACCAACGAACAAACAACTCCTAACCCAGCAATTCAACCGGTGGAAGAAGAGACGCAGCTCGGAGATGAAGACCAGCTTGTAGATCAGTATGATCAAGAAAGCTTCGACCAGCTCGAAACCATGAGAAAGGTTAGCCAGGAACTAAAAGAAATGAAGTCAAAGTTCCACCAGGCCACTAGTTCGGAGCCGGACATCAACCGAGTCATCGAGGAAGCCAGGCGAACTCCTTTCATCCCGCGAATTGCAAATTTGAGAATCAAGGATTCTCGGAAACTCAAACTGGACCCTTACAGTGGATTAGAAGACCCAAAGAGCTATCTCGCAGCTTTTCTGATTGCCGCTGGAAGAGTCGAATTGGATGAAGCTGACGAGGATGCAGGATATTGCAAACTCTTTTCGGAAAATCTTTGCGGTCAAGCACTAATGTGGTTCACCCAGCTGGAACCAGGCTCAATCAATAACTTCGACGAGTTGTCGGCTGTGTTCCTGAAACAGTATTCTATCCTCATGGATAAAAGCGTTTCGGATGCTGACCTTTGGAATCTAACACAAGGGCCAAACGAGTCACTTAGAACTTTCATCACCAAATTCAAGGGGGTGCTATCAAAACTCCCAAGAATCTCGCAGCAGTCAGCTTTATCTGCCCTACGAAAAGGTTTATGGCATGACTCAAGGTTCAAAGAGGATCTAATACTTCACAAACCAGACACGATTCAAGACGCACTTTTCCGTGCAAATAACTGGATGGAAGTAGAAGACGAAAAAGAGAGTTTTGCGAAAAGGAACAAACAAGCAAAACCAGCGGTCACCTTCCTTACCAAAAAATTCGAGCCTAGGGAGAACCAAGGACCAAAAAAGTTCGGATCGCAACCCCTCAACAATACCGTCGGGAAACAATTTCAAGGAAAAGGAAGGTCGAACACATGGATCTGTGACGAAAGTTTGTATTGTGACATCCATAAGGTAACCGGACACTTAACCAAAGACTGTAGTGTCCTCAAAAAACACCTCGCAGAGCTGTGGGCCAGTGGAGATCTTTCTAAATTCAAGATAGAAGATTTCGTGAAGGAATATCACGAAGCAAAGGATAACCCCAAAGATCAGAATTTAAAAAGACCTAGGCAATCCAACGAAGAAGAACCTAGAAGTTCGAAGGGAAAAATCAATGTGATCCTTGGAGGTTCCAAACTTTGCCGAGATACGATCAGTGCCATAAAGAAGCATAGGCGAAATGTTTTTCTTAAAGCGAATTTGGGCGAAGAAATTGACTTCCAAGGCGCGTCAATATCATTTGATGAAGAAGAAACACGTCACCTCGAAAGGCCTCATGATGACGCCCTAGTCATTACCCTAGACGTTGCCAACTTCGAAGTATCGAGAATTCTCATTGATACAGGCAGTTCGGTCGACTTAATCTTTTTAGGTACTCTGGAAAGGATGGGAATCAGTCGGGCAGACATAGTGGGACCTCCGTCTCCTTTGGTGGCATTCACAAGCGAGTCGGCCATGTCTCTCGGGACGATCAAGCTGCCAGTTCTTGCCAAAAATGTGTCAAAGATAGTAGATTTTGTTGTTTTTGATAAACCGGCAGCCTACAACATCATCCTTGGGACTCCGTGGATTTATCAAATGAAGGCAGTCCCCTCGACATATCATCAATGCATCAAATTTCCAACTCCTAGTGGAGTGGAAACAATTCGAGGAAGTCAAGAAGCTTCACGAACGTGTTATCTGACCAGTCATCGACTGAAGATCCAATAGCAATTAACGAAACCTGCGAAGAAGGGAATAATTCCAAGATTTCCTGGTAGGCAGAAAGAGGATGATGTAGTAATCGAAGTAGTATTGGAAGAAGACAAACCAGATCGGAAAGTCCGAATTGGAGCCACTTTGACTGGCGAAATAAAAGAAGCTTTGATTGAACTTCTAAGGAAAAACAAGACGTCATTTGCATGGTCAGCGGTGGATATGCCCAGCATAGATCCAAGCATAATTTGCCACAAATTGAACGTGGATCCAAGTTTCAAGCCTGTAAAACAAAAAAGAAGAAAACTCGGAGTAGAGCGAGCAAAGGCAGTAAATGATGAAGTGGACAAACTATTAAAAATAGGATCTATAAGGGAAGTACAGTATCCGGAGTGGGTAGCAAACACTGTCGTGGTCAAAAAGAAAAATGGAAAAGACAGGGTGTGTATCGACTTCACCGATCTTAATAAAGCATGTCCGAAAGATAGTTTCCCGCTCCCGCATATAGACCGGCTCGTGGAATCTACCGCTGGGAATGAATTATTAACTTTCATGGACGCCTTCTCGGGTTATAATCAAATAATGATGGATCCTGAAGACCAAGAAAAGACGTCATTTATCACGGACAGAGGTACTTATTGTTATAAAGTGATGCCTTTTGGCTTAAAAAACGCAGGTGCAACTTATCAACGGTTGGTCAATAAAATGTTCCATGAGCATCTCGGGAAGTCAATGGAAGTCTACATAGATGATATGTTGGTTAAATCTTTGAAAAAAGAGGATCACATTAAGCATTTGGAGGAGTGTTTCGAAATTCTCAACCAATATCAAATGAAGCTGAATCCGGCGAAGTGCACTTTCGGAGTTCCATCCGGAGAATTCCTTGGTTATATTGTGACAAAAAGAGGAATTGAAGCTAATCCAAACCAAATCAATGCCTTTTTAAACATGCCATCTCCGAAGAACTTCAAGGAAGTACAGCGTT